CGTAGTGTGCGTATGCGTGTGTGTGTGCGTGTGTGTGTGTGTGTGTGTGTGTGTGTGTGTGTGTGTGTGTGTGTGTGTGTGTGTGTGTGTGTGTGTGTGTGTGTGTGTGTGTGTGTGTGTGTGTGTGTGTGTGTGTGTGTGTGCGCGAGTGTGAATGCGTGGGAGTGTATGTATGTGTGTGGATGTGTGCGAGTGTGAATGCGTGGGAGTGTGTGTATGTGTGAGTGTATGTTTTGTGTATGTGTGTATGAGTGTGTGCATTATACTTGGGGAAATTCGAAATTTTTTTCGAATATTCGAATATCGAATATATTCGAAAATCGAAATTCTCGAATATTCGACTATCGAATATTATTCGAAAATTGAAAATTTCGAATATTCGACTTCCGAATATTATTCGAAAATCGGAATTTTCGAATATTCGACTATCGAATATCATTCGAAAATGAAAATTTCGAATCGAATAATATTCGAATATCGAATATCATTCGTTATTCGAATTTCGAATATTATTCGGTCCTCGAATGTTATTCGATTTTCGAATATCATTCGATTTTCGAATACTGACCGAATAATTTACGTCATTGAGACTGCCTATGAAAGGCCAAAACACTAAGAATAAATTGTTTCATGTAAGTGCTAAGTATTGGACACATTCTTATGGTACAATTTACGATGGAAAAACGGTTTAGTCGTGACGTGAAGAGACTTAGGAACCGAAAAGCTACTCCTGTGACGGTTGTGAAGAGATTTTTCGTACTTCAAAGAAGATTATACACCCTCACTGAGAGTTGCGATTGGATATACAGCGGTCCCAACAGTATGTACCGCCTGCGCCCCAGAGAGGGTCCCATGTGAACCAGCGTGCGTACGTGGTGCGACGCTGCCTTTCGCTCTTTTTGGCACATTTCTCATGAAATTTCAACGGAAGTGCCCGAGGTTAACACGTTCAAACGTGCGAAAGGCAGCGAGATGACGTGGTACCTATGGGAACCTCTCTGGGGCGCAGACGATAGATCTGTCTGACATCAACTTGTAGGTATGGGGCGATTTATCAACCGCTTTTCACTGCTGTAAAATTACCGTAAGACAGAAGCAGGTTTCAAAACATAAAGACCATTTCACCAAGAAAAAGAATCAAAAGTGCTGAAAGTCTTGCTTTAGATTCCTAAAGACACTCACTTTATGTAAAATTTGTACTCATCATTTATGCTTTTTTCAAAACTTACGCCAGATATCCTGTGTGCCCCCGAAAAGTTCCCATGTGCGCCAGCGTGCGTACTGGTGCGACGATGCCTTTCGCTCTTTTTGACACGTTTCTCCCAAGATTTCAACGGAACTGCCCGAGGTTAACACGTTCAAAATAGCAAAAGGCAGCGATATGACGTGGTAGCCTATGGGAAATTTGCTGGGGAACAAACGATACACCGTAAAAAGTGTTTTGCAGCGCCTTTCAGAAATGTGATTGCCATTTGAAAAGCTTGAAAGCTCGTGCGTAGTAAAATCAGCATACGTAATAACACTGCTGCACAGACCTTTTAGACCTTTTTTGGGGACAATTTTTTTGGATGTCTTATTTTGCAGTCGGTCTACAAGCTGGCGTTTCCTACTGTGATAACATACAATAAGAAAAACATGGGTGATTCGCTTTCTGCTGTAGTTATAAGCTGAAGCCATCCCTACTGGATGTTACCCAGAAATTGGCAAAAGACTGAGAGGTATTGATCAAACGGTGTGTAGATACTTCTAAACGAACGGTGGAGGACATTAGGTCGCCGAAAGAGGGCGGTCCCCGCGGTCATTTGCGACAAATACGCACCGTTGTACATACGCGGACATGCGTTCCTGCAGGGAATCCGCGCGGGACTCTTCCAAATTCGGCGACCTAATGTCCTCCACCCCTTTTAAACATCCCGTATACGCTATGCATATCGAATTCTCGAATATTCGGTGCTTATCGAATTTTCGAATAGTCAATTCTTATCGAATTTCCGAATATTCGGTGCTCGACGAATATTCGAATATTTGATGGACATCGAATGATCGATTGAATGACCCTCGAATATTCGACTATCGAATAATATTCGAAATTTAAGATTTTCGAATATTCGACTTTCGAATAATATTCGAAAATGAAGATTTTCGAATATTCGACTACCGAATATATTCGAAAACTGAAAATTACGAATATTCGACTTTCGAATTTTATTCGAAATTTCAGATTTTCGAATATTCGACTTTTCGAATCATTCGCATTCGAATGATTTATTCGAATGATCGAATAATTATTCGATTCGGTCCCAAGTATAGGAAATGTCACACAGTTTGTGAGGAAAAGCTTTCTTTCTGCTCCACTTGTATGCAAGTTTAAGGTGATAAATAATTCACCTTTCCTATAGTTTCTGTTTGTGCTTCTACGACGAGAATGCGCTTCATGTTTATTGATTTATTTTTCATCGTTCTTGTTTTGTTTCTGTTTTCATTCTTTCTTGTCATCACTGAAGGCAATGATCGCTGTGCCATACTACTATGTCTCGTCGCATTTGTGCAGAAGCGTGAACCACACAATTTTTGAGGAAACGCTTCCTTGCTGCTTCTTTTCATGAAAAGTAAGGCAGTCAAGGTGAGTTGTTTGAATGAAAGTTTACTACTTATTTATGTTTGGAGGTTGCATGTGGTAGTTTATTATCATGCTGATGAGAAGAGTGCATATGCATGACTTCTTTGCTACTTGCGAAGTGCTCTTTTGCTCACACTTCTACCCTTTGCTCATTATATATTTGATTCTCAATGAGTAACAATTTAGTTAGCTTATTCTCTGTCATCATTTGATTTACATACTTTATGGATATGTGAACCATCTGATGCGCAGACGGAAAGGCTTTCTGTACCGATTCTCATCCTTTTTTTATTTTTGCATCTTGATTCTTCCTTGCAGCTTCGAACGTCCAGTTGAGCAATTGATCGCCCTGTTTTCGTTTCTTCGCAATGCCACGTAGAAATTCAAATTGTTGCAGTATGACTTTCCAACAATATACCAATCTGCTCGAGAGGTTGCATGTGCTGGAAGAGGCAGTAGAGAACTTGGAATCCACTGCAGCAAGAAGACGGCAATACGTGCGCCAAGAACATCGTGGGCACCTTTCAATTCGCTTTCGCCTCTTCGATGAATACTTGGTCACGCGTAGGCCCGAGGGCTTCCTCGATTTCATTAGGCTTATGCCAGATGAGTTCGAAGACCTCTATCAAAGGATTGGAAGCAGTATAGAGCGTCTGAGATTCTACGCTGCCCTATCATTGGTCGCCATAGACTAATGATTTATCTAAAGTGAAAGCGTTGAATACATGTTCCCAGTTGACCTTACAACCATTATTATTTTTAAGAATCGTCACACAGGGGATGAGCTTTACGGCGTTTGCACTAGACATGGGATGCGGAGTGAGCACCGTTTCTGAGATAGTCAGGGATGTCATAGAATCTATCATAACTGGTACAAGCATATGAAGACATTCGTTTTGCTGAAAGCCCAAAACGAAATTCAGAACTGCATGAAGAAGCCTTCCCTCCTGTGACGCGGGAGATGTTGACACGAGTGGCAAGAAGGACACAAGCAATACACGACTATCCACGAGCAGCTGGATTCATGGACGGGAAGCATATATGCATTAGGGTTTGTGTTACACAATGTTCGCAGAACCGCAAAGCGTTGCCTACAGAGGCCGGCAGACTCGGGCAGCAACTATTGGAATTACAAACATTATTACTCGATAATGTTGCTAGCCTGGTGTGATACCGACTACCGCATCCTGGCATATGATGTGGGATCAGGAGGACGTGCCGGTGATGCTGGAGTCTACCGGAATTCTGCCATCAAAGTTCGCATTCTGACTAAATATGCTTGAAATATACACAAATCGGCCACTCAGGAGTTTTTGGAAAGCAACGATGAGGTATTCCCGCCCACCAGAGAGCTTGGTACTGTCGGTCCAGTCCAGTACCACATTCTTCAATGGAGGATTCGGACAGAGTTACAGAATGATAAGGCCATACAGAGAGAGGGAACTAAATACAGCAGATCGAAGGCGTTTCAACCGAATCTTTAGCAGGTAAAATTAGCTGTTTCTAGCAGCGTCGTAAAGTTCTTATAATTCTACCGATCAGTGCGCGCCGCACGATCGAAGCTACCTTTGGAATACTCGCCCATCGATTCCGAATTCTCATGACTCGCATCAATCTAGATCCTGAGCGAACGAGTCGAATTGTCATTTCACTCATGGTCAGCTAATCCCGGAAAAGCACCTCATTATTTGCTACCATTCTACTTCCCAGATTGTACACAACCTACTTCCTCGGAGAGCAGACAATTTAGCAGGAGTGCAAAGGCACGAACCTGCACCGGATGGCTACCATCCTTTGGAAAGACAGCGGGAATCTCGAAGAAGAGAGGCAGATTTGGCTAACATTGCCAAGGACTTGATGACCCAGTATTATGTTGAAAGATACGGCCACGCCCACTGAATATTTCGTGTGTGAAAATGTATATAATTGATCTGTATTTTCCACATTAGATGACCCAAAAAATGAAAATCGTGAATTTCGCTAAAATTTGCCTAGAGGGGTTTCCAAGCACGCTGATTACGAATATCGCACTCGTTGCGCACGATATAGCCTTTTCGTGGATTTCCGGAATCTTAGTTTGGCTGAAAAACGGAAAAGTTGCTTTTTTCACGCATTGTAACTCTAACAGTTAGGCATTGTTTCAGCGAACGAGCATGATATCTGCAATCAGCATGCTTACGAACCCCTTCAGGCGAGGTTTTGAGCAAATTCGAGTCTTCATCCCTCAGACTAAGTATCGTCGTAATCCGCTACTTCATTTTTTTAGTCAACTAGTGTGGAATAGCGCCAACTGATCTCATGTAATTAGGGTTCAATCGATAATTTACTTTTTTTCTCTTAAAGCTAAGTTCATTCGCTATCCTCGATGGGTGCCAGCGGGTCCCTAATTAAGAATTAATTGATCTACTTTTCTGTTGAAGGCCATTTACTTCAGTCACTTCTTTATTTCCGAAACATACTAATAAGCAACAACTACGATAAACATTCATAAACATTAATAAACATTCATTCATAATTCAAAACAACAAATCAAACACTTCTTGGGCTTCAAGGTAACCGAGAAACACATAACGAGTGCCAAAAGAGTGCCAAACATAACGAGTGCCAAAATTCAAAACAACAAATCATAATAATCAACAGTCGTAATAATCATACACTTCTTGGGCTTCAAGTGTAGTATCAGAGGAACAAAGTAAACTAAGAATATCAAGGTAAAATACTAGAAAAAGGGCTAAACTTCTGGCTCGTAATTCTGGCCGTGGCTGCTTCCTGGCTGCATGTCGGTGCTGTTCGGTGCGCTGACGAAAGTTATATCGTCGAATGCAAGCACCTGTGAAATCAAAACCATTTTTTCCTTCGCCAACACCCTCGGAATTCCTCGTAGCGATAGTGCCACGTACGCCCCTAAAGTAAAAAGTGAATTGCAAACCGCCTGATAGTACCAAAATACTTACCATAATGATCGTATTCGTCCAATGCCTTCATTTCTTTAAGCTGCGACCTTATGGCATCGGTGGCCTCGTGCACTGCTACAACGGCTAAAAAAATAAAATGAGAGGAAAATTACGATAACAATCGATAAAAACACTTACCACCTACTGTATCGGGCTTTGACGACCCAAACTTCTTTTTTCCCAAGAACTTTCTTCCACTGTCAATGGGTGCGAGTGGACTCCTGCTCGAGCAAGGAGTCCGCTCGCACTCAGCAAGTCTTATCACCTTTCGGTAGCGCAAAATTCACGGGTGATGTCGAACCGAGCGGCGGCGAATCTGACTGCGGGACTGCTTCTTGTGGAGGATCTGAAACACTTTATAACATGTCAATCAAGTATGCAGTCATACTCTCACCATTTTCATCGACAATGATGTCGTCATCTGGATTGCGCGCAAGATGAGATGTTGAGATGTCGTTATTGTCGGCAACATTTGAATCAGATGAGAGATTCGAAAAACGTGTGCTGAAACAAAGTTCGTTTGCTACCTATCAGAGTCCTGGTACTTCGATGACGGAGTTCAAAAACTGAAGTTGCAGGCATAATAATCCATAATCCCTGACGCTGATAGTTAGCTGGTGTCTTAGAGCCGGAGGGGAGGTTCGAAAAACGCTTGTATTGATCGCGCATGCGTTTCCACGTAATTTTACAATAGTCCACTAAAGCAGTATTGTATTATATGAATATGAATCCCGAACCCCGAAGTAACTCACAGTCGCACATTATTCCTGGCTAAAAATTTCTCCAAAATGCGGTACCACGCGTCCTCCCTTTTAACTTTTAGATGGTAATCGTTACAGGGTCCCAGATTGCACGTTCTTCTTCCACAAATTGTGCCAATAAATCACGAAAATTGAAATTGAGACTCATTCTGGCCGTCGATATCACTAAAAATAGATCCTCATTAGAAGAAATAAAAGGCAAATGACGACACAACATAAATTGCAACGCTTACAAGGAAATTAAGAGGAACTATATATATAACTCCCTACACACACATACTCACACTCACACACAACACACACACCACCCACAGACGCTCACACATATACTCACCCATATACATACTCTCACATACAAACACACACACAACACACACACCACCCACACACGCTCACACATATACTCACCCATATATTAGGTCGTTGCATAAGTTCGTCGACTTTTTATTTTTGTCGCCGTTTTTCGATGAAGCGGTTGGTTTACGGCAAAGTACCTATACCATTGAAAAGAGAAAATCTTGCTCTACAAGAATTGTTGTTTGTTTTTGGAGCAAACTTGAATCCCCTTCTTTTACGACTTATCAAAGCAAAATTTTTTGAGAGGCAAAAATTGGCGATTGCGGCAACTGCAACTTTCGATCCGTATACGGAGCCGCAAGTGGGAATTTTTCGTTTGAAGTTGTTATGAGTGATAAGAAACAACTGTTTGTGGTACTACGGTGCATATAAAAGTAGTCTCCATGTCCAAAGAGAAGCTATAAAGAAAGATAAGCGCACGTTAACCATGTGTGTAGATGTTTTGCGTTTGGCACAATTTGAAGAAGTTTCCCGTCAAAAACTTTTTCAAGAAAGCGTAAAATGTTGGTCAGAGCTTGTACCCATACATCTGCACCACTTAGAAAAACGCATCCATTCCTCAAGTTCCGATAGGAGGACCGACACATTGTGTCGCTGAACAACGCGCCAAACTCGAGCGGCAGCAGTCAAAGACAACAACCATTGGGACCTGTTCAAACGGTTCTATGCATATTGGCATCTGCAAATTTGCAGTCTTGCTTGCTACTATCCATCCCGCCTAGCTATGACAGAAACATCTTGCGGAATACGGACCAAATGCGGAAAGTGCAGTTGCCGCAATCGCCAATTTTTGCCTCTCAAAAAACTTTGCTTTGATAAGTCGTAAAAGAAGGGGATTCAAGTTTGCTCCAAAAACGAACAACAGTTCTTGTAGAGCAAGATTTTCTCCTTTTATTGGTATAGGTACTTTGCCGTAAACCAACCGCTTCGTCGAAAAACGGCGACAAAAATAAAAAGTCGACGAACATATGAATACTCGACCTAATACATACTCTCACATACACAAACACAACACACACCACCCACACACGCTCACACATATACTCACCAATATACATACTCTCACATGCACACACTCACACATACACACACCACCCACACACGCTCACACATATACTCATCCATACACATACTCTCACATACACACACACTCACACATACATACATACACCACCCACACACGCTCCATACGTAACATGTTCAAAACTGCTACCGAAATGTGCACAGGCGATGACGAGCGACGCGAGTCACGACAATTGGCAGCTGACATTGCACTCAGTAACGGCTATATGCTTGGAACAGGAGGTTCACGTAAAAAACAGTCTACTTGTCATAACTGTGATAGCCTTACTTAGCGCAACAAGAACAACAAGATTCCTTTGTGCATACCCTTTGTTTCCGATAGAATCAGCGAAGCCATAAGACAGTACATCTTGCGAGCACAACTGCAAAATGAAGTCATGCTGATTGACATTCCTAGCGCGATAATATCAAAAGGCGGTTAGTCAGAAACAGAGCTTACGATGTTGAATGTGTATCAAAGGATTGCATAATCTGTCCTTATGGGAAAATAGGGGACTGCGCTAAATCAGGAACTGTCTACCAATTGGAATGCTTGAGTTGCAGAACAGTGTACATTGGAGAAACGGGTAGACCCTTGAGTACTAGAGTAAGCGAGCACTTGGCGAGCATGAGGCGAGGAAACCTATTGTCTCCGACAATAGGTTAGGTAAGCATAAGGTTGAAGAGCACGGCGGCAATGATTTTAGCGTCAAATGTGTCATCCTAGCGATTGAGACTGATATTCTAGCACGAAAGACCCTTGAAGCGGCGTGGATATACTCTCGTAGTCCAATTATGAACAATAGAAATGAATGTCTGACGATAACGAGTGATCTACGCTACAGTTTGTTTACCCTGTAAAGTATTCGATGCTGCCACCTAAAAACTGTCACGGCATTCATTTTTGTCCTTAAACTTCATGTTTCCCATATGGCTTACTGTTTGAGCATATAACATATGGATGTTTTCTTGTTTTATTAGATTTGCTTGAAACATAGGTTGGTGCAAAAGTTCTGGTTTGAACTTTCGCATATCCCGTAGAGTTAAGACAAGGAAACATGTTCAACAGCATTCGACGCAGAGTTTTTTCTTCCACCTGTTGCGTTTATTTCTTGCTTTTTGAGGAACTGCTGAGATTACTGTCGAAGTTTCCAACCATGAATTATGTAAATTCGGCTAGTTTTCAGCAATTATATTTCAAATCAAAAAAGCTCTAGTAATCATCAGTATAGCTAACCTTTTGCAAATAAACGCGATCTCATTTTTCTACCTTTTTACAAGAACCTCAAATATTTCTTGTACTCTCTTTTAGAAACCTGGGCTTGCTATATCAATATATTGTTCTGCTAACTAAGTTTTGTGGTGAATTTTTGTTGTTGGCCTTACATTTCGATAGCATCATCTTCTTCGGAGGTTTCAATCCATCGTAGAGTCAGTAGTCCGCAGGAATGTGAAGGACATCATCACAAAGACCTCGAAGAAGACCATATTTGTTGAAAATAAGGTCACTATTTATGATCTACAACAAAACCTGTTTGGCAGAACAACACTACACAATACCCTAAAATATATTTATTGAAATGTGTTACGATCGGTAATTCAAACCTCCCAAGACTAATCAGAAAATCCAGATGTAGACGTGGCGCAAAACCGATCCGATGTGGATGCGCACCATGATCTTACACTGATTTGGATTCGGACAGATTATGGGTAGCACAGCGATGTGTATTGAGTGAAAAAGCAAAGTGATTTGAATATTAGGAATATAAGGAATGACATCTTTTCCTTATACAACCATTATAGTCGATCACCAGAGAAGACATCCACTGAAACCATCTGAAAACTTCAATACAAAAATGCGCACAATGGTTCAAAAACTATTATCCCTTCAACTTATATTATTAAGTCGTTCCATAAGTTCGTAGCTTTTTTATAAACCGACAAAATTATCAATTTACAGTAAAAATCAATCAGAATTAAATTCCTCGTTGTGGCGCACGACCTTTTGACACATTCTTGTTAGCTTCGCAATCTCAATTTTTCAAACGGCAACGCGCCGGGTCCCGGGAAAGTCATCTAACCAGCGCACAAACTACTTGCTGAAATCGAGGCATTCACCATCTATAGTGTTTGTTTGCTAAAGAGCGGAGCAAATGGTAATCTGAGAGAGCGAGATTCAGAGAGTATTTTGGGTGCTAAAGTACCTTTCAGTCAAGTCGCGCAGAACAGTCTTGACGACGTTTGCCGTATGAGGCTATATTTCGTCATGCAGAAAATCTCACTGAATCTGTCTGTTAGGCTGTGGCAGGACCTGATTCAGAAGTTGCAGTTGGGTTGCTTACGGTATGGTTGACCGTCGCCAACTTGTACAGCAATTTTCAGTGCAGGACGTCCTGCCCGCCCCTGAAAAGTCTTGTTCAGGGACACACTGCTCAGCCCATGATCTTTCCTAGCAATCCAATTCTTTTTTGTCTCATTTTGATATGCGAGCACTGTGTTCCATAATCGATAGAAAAATCTGTGCAAAAGCGCTTTTTTTCAAGAGGAAAAGTGCGCAAATGCCGAATTTGCTCCTTTTTGCCTTTCAAGATTTCCATCTTTGAAAGCTACGAGATCCGAGTGAATCAGCTTTCCTCCGATATCAGTAGACAAATTTTAAAGAGCACAGTTAGCTCTTTCGAACATATGCGCATTTTGTCGCAAAATAACCCCCTTCCAGGAAAGGAGGACGAAATTGAAAACGCTATGAACTTATGGAACGACCTAATAGATAATTTCGCTTTCTACTATTCTATTTTCCTCTCGTCTATATCGTAGAAGAATGTAAGATAAGCTTCGTTGTGCTGTAATAGTACAGAAACTGGCTAATCTAAAAGCGCTATATAAGTTGAGCGAAACTAGTGCTTTGTCTACTTACGCATGCAAATCGCATGACTGATTTATGGGTGGATTGGATTTATGCATGGCTAAAAATCCGCAAACAAGCAAACAACTTCCATAACAAAGACTACTCTAACTTAGTCTAATAATATGCAGGCAAAGTCGTCTGACTAGAGCTTCTATTTCCGGAAATGAGTTGAGCTAGCTTGTAGTTTCAGTAAATTGTTTCTCTCACTCAGGCCTACAATATTTTTTATGTATGATCTTGCAACATATTCATGCTTAAATCTAATTTCAATATTCTGGAAACTGGTGATTAAAACAGCTACTCAATGACTGTATAAAGAATTTCGAGATCACAATTAACCCTGCTCGCGGGTGCAAACTAATCGCTTTGCGATAGCCTTTGAGAATGTTTGCTTTTGCCTGTTCGTTTAAAATAGCTGACAGACTCTTCATATACCCTTCCTGATATGGTCAGTCTTCGTGTTTGTAAAAGTCATGAATTCAGCTCGTTAACACAAACAACTTTTCCGTGATTGACTCTCAAGAGCTTTGAAATGTGAGTCAACGTTTCTCTATACCGTCTATCTTCTTTTGCATACGCCCGTTCCCATTAGCGCAGTCTCTCAAGTTTTACTGTGAAGCAAATTTTTGTGGTTTAGGCTCATTCCTCATGGAAGTCTACCAGTTTATCAGATTAAAGGATCGGAATGCAATCGAGCTTTGCTTCATATTTATTTGTTTGGCTAGCATTCCTTTGACGATTATGGCTCTGGTCATTGTTGTCACCAAATCTCCTCCGCAGATGAAAACCTACAAGTGGATTATCATCAATTTCACTGTCCGTGAATCAGTTTTGGTTCAACGTCATACAGTTGTTAATTTTCAGCTTACTACTTTCTTCACTGACGTAATTATTTGTTTTCTATTCGATCCTATTCCGCTCTTTCCCGCAGTTGCTTGCTACTCGAAGACATGGTTAGCTAATGTTGATGAAAATGCTAATTACATACTGTTGGTAGGTTCATTTGTGTTTCGCATAAAGGAAAGGAAAAAAACGTAGATTACAGCTCGTGAATGTCGCAAGATTGAGTTTCGATAGTTGTCATTGAGCCGAGTGCCAGCGTATCCGCAACATGTTCTAGGATCCAAAAATTTTGTTACTTTTAGTGAATTAGGAGTAGATTAGGTTCATTCTAATCCAAGAACAAAATCAAGTGGGAGACTTTTTTGCTCTTTTAATGACAGATGGGGAAGAGTACATTATGCTTCTAAAGGGGAGGTTCGGCAATATCATACAAAACACGTATCCCCATTTCAAATGTGTGCTACATCTTCTTGCGGGTAGCCCATTGCGACTGCTGTGCAGCCGGTCAATCCGTCAATGGTTTTAGCTCTCTAAACTTGTTATCCATGGTTGGCACACGTAAATGAGCATGATATAGTGAAGAAGCAGGAGGACGATCTAGAATAATAGGCGAAGCTCACTCGTACGGAAAACCTATGCGCACCTTTTTGTTGTAGATCAAAACGAAATTTATAAGATCAAAAAAATATGACAATGTCGCATTTTTCAAATCTAATTGCTTAGACCGCGAAATCGCGCGCGGCGAAAAAGAGTGTACTTTCAGCCGTTAGCCACAAAGGAACCTTATTTTGTGGAATGTGTGCTGCACCTGTAATCAGCATGTCAGATAAGCTCCATACCCAAAGTTTTGAGTGAAATCGAAGTGTTTGAATTTTGTCGCTTGAAAAGAACTTCGTGTTTTCCTGAAAACCAGGGACAAGAACTCAATTCCTTATAGTACCCAAAAGTATCTATGTTGCAAACGGTACACATCAAAATCTAGACTAGGGTTTTCCTCCTCGAAACTGAAGCAAAAAGAAGTTGCGGCGTCGCACGCGTCGTTCGCGTTGCCGCACCTTGTTGCAACTGTTGCTCGATTTCTCTTTATATCTCCTGAACAAACATCGGCGGTACAGCTCTACAGAGCTATTTGGAAAGTAAGAGCTTAGATCTTTGACCTGATAACTTTGGACTAAAAGAAAACCTCCTTTGAACGCCAAAATGATCCTTCAAAGCAGCGTGCTGCACCATGTGCAGCACCGGTCCGAAACGTGTTAAGGAAGGCCGTCTTGCAAACACGGTATTCTGAAAATATACGAAGAACGACTGAAAACGTGCTGTAAAACATCCTTCTAGTGTGCATCTTTGCTCATGCTACAGCTCACACTGAGTGGCACACTGGTTGCTTTTCTCTACCGATTGCGATCGCTTCTTATCATTTCCGCCTCAAATTCGCAATCCAATTTCATATATATTGTTGGAGCTGTATACGTAATTACTTTAGCACCAATCATTTTTATTCTTACTGCTTTCAGCAAATCTCAATCCGAAATGCTGAGCATTATTCAGGTAAGTACAAGATAGCAATATTTCTTTGAACCTCCTAGTTTTTAGGAAATACCGCAACTGCAGTTTCTCGAAAACTACACATCCTTCCTCGCCACATCCGCGAATGATCCAGAATTCATTACTTTCGGAATCGTCTGGCTGTGTTCTGTTTCTGCCATAGTAGGAATCTGCATCTTGATAGCAGTGGTAATAGGGGTCATTCTCCATCGAAGGAAGCTTCGCATGAGCCGTAAGAGCCTCGTACTGCACCGCTCGCTTATGATTCACTTAACCATACAGGTAGGGGTTTCATCGAAAACCTTCAATTGTATAAAAAAACTTCCTTTTTAGAAAGGGATAAGTTTACGTTGTTCGCACTGGGAATGTTGAGCGAGACACGTTGAACATTCCTCAAATGACTATACCCTAAAAAGCTGAGAGCACGGAAAGTGAACAACCACCATCTCAGTTCTCTTCACCTAATAGAAATAAATACTCTACATTATCCATCTCAACACCCTGAGCTCCCGCAATCGGGTGACATGTCCAGCCTCACCTACAAGGCAGGACACAGCATGCACCCCCTGAAAAGCGAAGTCCTTAACAAATTCGCAAACTAGGAAGCCCAAGTTGAGTCGAGTGGAAGTTTTTCTATTCTTCCATCAGATGAAAGAATGATGCTGACAATAAATTAACATTTTTTGCGCGTACTGGTGTGCAGGTAAGATTGCCTATTGAGAATTTCAAAAACTGTGAAATGTTTATAAAGCAGTTTTGATACAGATTTGCAGCACCCAAAATGCAAATCGGATCTATATGAAACAATGGTAAAGTTTGCTTGAAAAGAACATCGCCAGCTCACCTGTCATCAAGTGTCAGGTGGCTTCAAAGGATATGAGTCTCCTTTGAAGCTCAAATTTTAAACCTATTGGCGGCTCGACCGTTAGTAGTTCCATGTAACCTGAGCGCTGAAGCTAGTATCTACAGTCTTTTTCTCAATTTTTCGAGCGCGTCATGCACTCCCATCGGTAACCGTGTACAGGATATCGCAAAAGTACGTATGCATGTTTAATCATGAGCACCTCTCTTGTTCGAACTTTCGCCGTTTTTTTGAGATGTCATACTGTATGGCTGGTTTTGAAATGGTATCAACCTCTCCTCATCATTATAGGATTACCGTAGAAACTTTGGGGAGGGCTTCGCGCTGTTGAAGACAATGTTCTATTTCAGGAAGGAAACTGTTAAGAAACTCTTACACTGGACTGATTGGAGTCGCTTACTTTAAAGTGGTTGCACAAGTCAAAAGCTTTACAAGTCGTACATAGTCAAGTAGTGATTAACGTGCGGAACTTCTGCTACACAACATTCTAGACTTCTTTTTTTTTGAATTCATTCAAGCGGCAGCTTCGAAGTTGCTGGGTAGGTGTAAGTTTCTAGCGTAATCCTACAACAATAAAGAGTGGCAGGTTTTCTCCGTACTGCAATTTCAAACTAAAGAGAGCTAGAGAATGGTAACTATACTGCAAACACGCTGAAGCAAGAGAGATATTAACAAAGAAACCGTATATGTAGCTTTCACCCTTTTTATTTACAGCATTTATAGGTTCGAAAATACCTTTTGTTCATATTCTGCAGGTTTAGATTATGATGCCTGTAACGACCACTCTGTTTCCTATGCTGATACTTTTATCCACCCGTTACATCAATGTCCCGTTTGGCGCACAGTGTAAGTCTATAGTCACTGTCGGCTTAAAACTACATTGCTATTCTTCAGTTTGGAATATGGTTGTTGCGCAAGCGGTATCCATGCATAGTCCACTCAACACAATCATGGTTCTGCTTTCGACACGACACTATCGGAATGCAGTGTTTTATATCATAAGGAGAATTTCACAATCGTTTGGAAGATCGAATGGAATTTCCGTCAAGGCCACCTCTAGTAGTCGACTAGTTACAGTTTTGAAGTAAATTTTGGTATCAAATGAAAGTTGAAGTATACGAGTATCAGCAAACGCGCAAGCCACACAAATTTGAAAAGATACAGAAACGTTTGCACTTCACAAATTTTCATGACAGATCCAAATTCATACGAGTAAAGGTGAAGGTTCAAACGTACTCACGATTCTCGGAATAAAATTTGGAAATTTTGAGTAAATTCAAACTTTACGGAATTCCATTTTCCTGGTATGAACTGCATACGTTTAACTTCGAAAAAATTGTGATGTTATTTGAAAACGTTTTCCGTGTTTCACTGTGTATTTCATCCGTAATTCCAGCGTGACATTCAATTCACTTAGATCACTTACGAGGGAAGGATACTTGGTGACTGTGGCCTTTTGCAATAAAATGTACACCATTAGGTGCGTCTTGAAACGCTGATTCTAGATCTATGTCCATTATCTGCTGTGCGGCTCCCTGAACGAGGTTGTGGACTTTTTTCCATATTGATTTTGCGAGATTTACGCAGTCAAAATCGTCAGCATCCAGGCTTTTTAGACTCTCTGTATTGGTGACAGTTTTCCTGAATTCAACTTGAAGCTTCACTTTATCTGTACGGCTCTTTCGTAGCAGAAGCGAACATTCTAACGATATTGGTGAATCCTGCAGCAAAAACAGTGCAAATTTTGGTGGCAAGAAATGTACTTAACTTCATGCGGAATAGCGCACAGCAGATAATGCAAACAGATTTGGAATCAGCGCTCCAAAATGCATCAAATGGTGTACGTCTCATTCCAAAAAGCCAGGGTCACCTAGTATCCTTTCCTTGTTAGATAGCCCGGCTTCACACGACGCGCACAGGCCCAGCACAGAAGCTGCCATCTATCTCTGTCGCTCGCTGTACACATCCACGATCTTCTTGGTTGAGGTCGGTGGCTGCGTCCACGAGCTGCAGGTGCGAAAATAGTATACAGTCGATTTCTCAGCTTATTATCCTCTTTACATCGCGTCTGCTCATCTCCTTGAAGCTCTTCCTCGGGGACGTCTTGCTTCGCGAGGAATCCACTCTGATGTTCTTGGTGTCCATCTGTCGTCTGTTTTTACATTGTGACCGGCCCATCGATGCTTCGCTTTCGCAACGTAATCCGCTGGGTCACGAAGACGGGACATTCTCCTCATATCCGTACTGCGAAGTCCGACAAGTGTTGTTTGTGTCGGGTCATCTTCAGAAGACTCCGCTCTAGCGCCTTTTGTGTGGATGGTCCTTATAGCTTTCGACATGGCTACGGAGCAGCCCAAGTCTCAACTGCGTGATAGAGCGCCAGGAGAACAGGTGGGCACGAAGCTCCGGGTTCGTTAGTTGGTCAGTGGCTTCACTAAGAGGCCCGAAGGCGGCCCAGACTGCTTTTTTCTCCTGTCAAGTTCTTCCCTTAAGTCGTTCTCCGTGTTCATTGAACGTCCGAGGTACACGTAAGAAGACGTCTCCATGATAGGGGTGTCTTCTGATTCTATTTCTGCGTCTTCGCATAAAGCGTTCTTTATGAATTGAGTCTTCTTCCGATTTATTCGCAATCCGATCCTCTTCCCTACTTCGTTCAGTTCCTTCAGCATCTTCTCTGCTTCAGTGATACTGCGCGAGAAGAGAACGTTATTGTCCGCAAAACGAAGGTTCGACAGGAATCATCACCCACTGCAAGGCCGCGGTGAACAGCTCCGACAAAATTTTTTCGCCTCGTCGCACCCCTTTCGGATTGGGATAGTCAGGGGCGATGGAACATCTGCATCGTCGTTGTACAGTCCTTGTAGCAGTCCACGTAAGCTGGGTCACTCCTTGATCGCCTAACGCTGACAGAATGGCGTTGGTTTCGACGCTGTCAACGGCTTTCTCGTAGCCGACAAAGGTTAGGACGAGAGGCAGTCGGTATTCCCGGCAGACTTCTATGACCGTCGAAACCGTCTGGATGTGGTCCATGCAGCTGAATCCTTTGCGAAATCCAGCTTGCTTTTGGGGTTGGGCTTCATCCAGTGTCCTAGATATGCGTGCGAGGATAATCTTCGTGAAGAGCTTGTACAGCACACTCAGCAGGCATATTGGACGGTAATTTCGAAGATCTTCCCGTTCACCCTTCTTAAAAAGAAGGACGGTTCTTGACGTTCTCCACTGGTCGGGAATCCTCTCCTTCTGAAGGTAAGATGTCAGGTGCGACGCGAGAATCTCGCGTAGACGTTGTCCTCGAGCTTGCAGAAATTCGACGGAACCTCTGGCCGTCTGCTCCTGGAGCCGTGGACGTCTTCATGGTCTGAATCGCTGTGCGCACTTCAGCAGGTAGAATTCGTGGTGGTACTTCTCCAGTGGGAACAACGGGCATCGGCACGGGTGTTGATGAGCGGAGGATGTTGGTAAAGAAGTTCTTCGCGATAGATTCCATCTTGTATTGGGAAAAAGTCGGAGTCCCGTCGTCGTTCGATAGTGCAGCCAGCGGTACGTGATATTCGCAAAGATCCTTTCGGTATTTCTTGATCGTTTTTCTTCGGCTGCTTCCAGCATTTTAAATTGCCTGTACTTCCTGAGATCCTCCTGCAAAACTGTTCTGCGGCGTTGGCTATCAGTGCTCGAGATGGGTTGCACTCGAATCTTGCTGCAGTGATTTTCTTTTTTCGAGTAGTTTCTTGGTGGTTTTCGTATGCGTTTCAGGTTCTTCTCAAAAGTCTCAGAGGCGCACTCTCCGCAGGCTGGCAATCCTTCCAGAAGCCGGTCGTAGTCGTGCGTTGGGTCTTCATTGATGGGCCAGTCAAAACTTGATATGAGCTCTTAATCTGTTACCGTCGTAAATGACATTATTCCTTCCTGCGGTACTGCGGCAGACCTTTTCTAGCTTTCAACTGATTCGTACCTTCGCTCGAAGGAGGCGGTGACCGGAGCCACAGCAGAAGAATGGTACTACTGAGACATCAAGCAAGCTCCACCTTCGGTTGGTAAGAATGTGGTCGATCTCCGCATGTGTCGTTCCGTTGGACGATTCCCATGTCCACCGGCGATGTTCTTTCTTCATGAAGATGGAATTTCCATGAAAAGACGTGCCGTGGAGAGAAGTCCAACGAGACGGTTGCCGTTTTCGTTCCGGAGCCAATATCCAAACTTCCCAGTCCTACAGCTTTCAGTGACATCCTGATTTTCGCGTTGAAGTCGCTCACAACAAACTTGTAAAAGAACTGTTGCGGACGACCTCCTCCACATCTTCGTAAAATCATAAAAATCAGATCGTAAATCATCTAGTTCTGATTCATCAGCGCTGATTTTGGAGAGTAACAGTTGGTGGTGCTGATAGTCTTCCGACATGGAGGTCGAAGTCGTAGGATGGCTAGTCAAGGTGATAGGATTTCATGCAGACAAGATGGACAGTAGATGGATGGCGGACAATGCCAACGCCAACGTTTCGATGGAACCTTCTCACCATAAATAATGAGTTTCCCGTCACTCATCTGTCGCATTCCTTCTTCCTGGACTTCGTTTTTTGCAGAGCGATGACGTGGTACTCGATGTGCTCTGCATCGTCGAGAAGAGCGTGGAAGTCGGCGCTTGTAGAGACTGTCCTGGCACTGTAGGTGCAGAGCATGAGGCAGTCTCTATGGCGTGTCATCCGGGCAGACTTGTCGTTTCTGTCCGATCCAAAAGGCGCCCCAAACCTGACATTGTTTTTGCTACCATCTGGCGCCGAAGCGGGATCCGATGAATCGAATCCGATGAAGGGCTTTTTTCATATCTTTCTGCTGACGAATTAATTAAAGTTTTCACCTACAAGAGCGAACTTTCTAGGCCTACTCTTGATTTCCACGGGGCGAACGCTGGCTCGGGTGTGAAGCGAGGAGAACCGCCTAGCGACTGGAAAACCAGACGGCGGGGAATATGGCCTGGCCGACTCTTAGCTAGACATCCGGCCGAAACCGGAAACGTCGAACTCCTTCGAGCTTGAGAGGCCTGCCAGAGTATATACACTCGGCTGTGCATCTCAGTTCGACATACAGTATCACCCCCACGCCACGTTGAAGCCAACCATTGTGAGGACAGCGTGACAGTATAGAGGCAAGTTTTGGGCTATAGCAAAGCTAGTGTTTGGCGGCGTTACTTAGAACGCCATAAGCAGGGTCAAGTGTGAGTTGTGGCTTGCCACACCTGAAGGCCGTATTGATGGGTCAGGGATGGAGAGGGGTCGTTAACGAAGTGATACTGATGTTAGAGATAGCATGATTTTCTATAAGAAAATTATGCTATCTCTAACAGAATATAAGAATCTTTCTATAAGAATGTTAAATAGGCTTTATACAAAATACTAGCACACTAAGGTTTTGGATAACCAACGCATACGTACAGTAAGCATAATAAAATAGTAAAGTAGAAGAGCTCATTCACGTAGTCAGCATGTCAAATAATCCTTGTGGCCCATTCTCAGCGAATTCTGAGGTTTCCAAATATTGCGCCACTCAGGTGAGATGGTCACTTTCGAACATTTTAACTTTGTTTTGGAAGTGAGTCAAGTACTTCTTTTCGCACAAAGAATTACTAGATCTTTGCTCTATTTAAAATCTTAATTTTGACAAATTTCAAGCTATAGAATTGAGAGCAAGCCAAAATTTCGTTTGTCTCATTTTTCGCTCTCATTATCTCAAGCTAGAGAAGATCAACCAAGCTCAATTCACTTTCGTGAAAGTTAGGAAGGTTTCGGCTACCGAATAGTGCAAAACTGATTTCCTCTTCTTTATTTTGCACACTAGTTGCTGGAAGCACAACCCAGGTAAGCTAGAGGAAAAACTGAGATTTTGTCTGGATAATACCATAGTTTGGTGGTTTTTTGAAGCAGGACTGATAATGGGCAAAAGGTAGTAGTGCTTTGTATAGATTTATGATTAATTATATAATTAAGTATGTCTGAAATTGGCTACTTCACTTGGGTGGCCCAATATCGGGAAACCCTCAGTATTCACTACTCGGCTCAAGAGTTTTGACATGTTAATTACGACTATGTTACTAA